GTCCTTGTTACCATATGTATAAAAACACTTCACAAAAGTCTCCAATGTTTGTGTTGCTAAAACATGGAAGACTGGGTTCGAACATTTTAAAGGAATGGTTCATTGTGGGAAATGTGAAGTATAGTATAGAATTAGCTTTAGCACCTTCAGAAAGCAATGCAGCATTGGAACAAATTTTCTCAGTTATGGATGCTGTCTAAGATGAGAACAAGTTGTACAGCCAAAGTCATCTTCATTGTTAAAACTAAATTTAGATTATCACGCATTGAATTTTACATTTATTAACTGGGATATGCATTTCAAAAAAGAAAAATCCACTCTCCCAACAAGGCAGTACTTGGAAGCCTACCTAAAATGCCATCCTTTGGTTCCTGGAGTGGCACTGCTCTGCAAAACCCATTTTGCTACCTCAGTAACTAAAGCTTCCTGGATGGAGTCCAAGGGCAACTCATACTACATTGAATCCCACTCAAAGCCAAGCATGTTAGAAGAAGCAGCTTACATCTGTTTGGTGTTTCAGCTGTGCAGTCTGAATTTGATATTTTCATTTGAAATATAGTCAGTATTTAGACATGCAGAGGCTGTGGCCCATGTGTGGCTCACCCAGCTCTACTGGAACCTAGGATGAGTCGGTAGGCTAAGAAGGTGGAGGAATAAAAAGTGCTTACTCTTTTTTCCTCTCTTCCTATTTTCTCACTTCCAAACACCATGGCAGCCCTAGATGTAAAGCAAGTAGCTTTTAAAAATACCATATATTTAAATGAGTAACAGGGGCACACCAGGTGTTTTGGCACCTAAAACAGCTTAGTGAAAGGCAAAAGCAGAGCTGAAAGACAGCCAGACAAGTAGGAAATAGACGGTGATCATGGGTCCTGCCAAGCCCTGCATGTTCCATCTCAAAGTTACAAGATAGAGCGTGAGACTGAGTTCAGAAAAAGAGAGTTTATGGAATGTTCTCAGTGTGCTGTGCAGAACTGGGTCTAGGGCATCTGCTTCGTACTAACACTTGGCACTGACATTTGTACTCAATAAAATCCTCTTAGATCGTGATTTATCTTAAAATCTGTGCTTTCTGAAATCCTATCAAGCCATGGAAGTGTGAGGGTATCCTGTGTGTGGTTGAGTGTGTGTATCTGTTTGAGGGTCTGTGGCTTCCTTTGCTTGTTTTACATTATGTGCCTAAAGAGTCCACAATGACGTGACCTTAGTATTTATCTTTATTGTGTATTTTCTTTTTTCAACCACATTGCTTTCCTTAGTACCCTTGGCTTAAAGTGCAGTGACCCAGATTATTTCCAAAAGGGGCCTATTATAGACATAGGTCAATTCAAACTATCATACTGGTTTAAAGAAACCTATGAAGTATCCTTCAGGCAAAATAAATGCCTTGGATTTAGTATTCCCTATTTAATGATTTGCCTAAAATACAGTCACCTTGCATGACTCATACTGTGAAAGTTGAAGCAGGTAACATTTATTCTAAATGCATAGCTGTTGTTCTGCTAGGAAAGTAGGACATTCAAGAGTGTGTGTGTGAGTGTGTGTGTGTGTGTGTTCTCTGATAATAGTTGTTCGACTAGGTGTTTTTAGAAAGATAGCAAATTTACTTTATATCCAGTGCTTTTAAGCCATTGAGATTTATTTTTAAAAGCATATATTGTGCGAACACATTTTTCATGTTCTCTTCCAGTTAAATTTTACGTAAAACAAGCCCAAACACTATTTAATGAATGCCTCTTATTTAAGTATTAATAATGAGCTAATCAATAACTTTTGGGTAAATGAATAACTCTGTCCTTAAATTCATAACTCTATTATCTGCTTATTTTCACACCAACCTGAATAATTAATTATATAGCAATGCTCTGAAATTCCTCCCAGGAATGCCTGACCAAATTACCTACACTTGTTGACAGTTTAAACAATTGGAAATAATCAGTAAGTTATTTCATAACTTTCAAAGTTTAGGAAGCAAAATTAACCAAATATTTATCTCTGAAATATTAATAGGTGCCTTACACCAAATTCACTGGTATTTGGCAGTATTCTCCAAAGTTCCTTAGTTTTAAACCAGTTAATTGTCTTCTTTTTAAATTTAAGATAACACAATAGGTAGTAGTCAGTCTGTTCCTTTTGGCTATAATAGTTAAGAGAATTTTCATGTTTGTTTTAATTTCATTACCCAATTAACTTTTTAGTTCTACTGCTATCTTGGGATCAAAAACCTGCAAAAGGTTTTAGGTTTCATGTTAATAGCAGGAGAATGGAACTCACAAAGTAAAATACTGAAAGAGAATGGCTAGGCATGGGTTTGATTCAAACTTAGCAGGCTAAAAGTTTTAGAAGGTAAGATAAATAATGTGGTGCATTAATGTTCTATTTAAATATATGTTATATATATATTGTTATATATATTATGTATGTATGTATATATATATCATATATTACATGTGCCAACTCCCAGGTTAGAACCCATATCCCTGGTTATCTAAGACTAAATTATCCTATTAGAATAGTTGGTGATGTTCTTAGACACACTTTGAGTTAAACCATCAATTCGTACCGAAATACTTTAGCATTCACAAGCTGCAAAGTAAATTGCTCTAAAATTGTCATTTGTTCAACAGTTTCCAAAAATGCCTTGGAAGGGGGGAAAAACTATTCCAGAGAGACGAAAGTGGATGGGATGAAGGAAGTGTAATAAAAAGATTGTGAATCGTGTATAGGGAGAAATTAGTGTTTCCAGTAAAACTGTTTACAAAAAAAAAAAAAATTATAAAGGACTACAAAGAAACTTACTGTTCTGTGCTAAATTATTTCCCACTCTCCAGTACTATGGAAGGACTGATTTCAAGGTCCCTAAGACAAATGATCACATCTAAATAAAAAATGCTTCTACAATATTCCTTTCTCAGAAGAGAGTTAAATCTTTTCACAGGACACAAGAAGAAGGGTTCAAAAGACCACTGTTTTTACGGTGTAAAGCAGTGACGCCTCCCCTTCCCACTGTAGCCCTTGGCCTGTCTCACTTTGGGAAGTCTTGCAAAAAGAGTCTTCGTATTAGGCTGTGAGATAGTGTTGCGGATGGAGGTTGGTTTTGTGTGAGCCAAGCATCAGCAAGTTTCAGGTTTGATATCGGGGACTTGGGGTACATCTTGGGGTATATCTGATAGCTGAATTAGACATGCGGGTGGAAAGGTGACAGCACTGTTTTCTCCTTGGGCAAGTCTCAGATTGGTGTGTCGTTTCGGAGTTGCTAAACGCTCAGGAGTGAAGAAGAGAGAAGGGTAAAAGGACGGAGGAGGAGGAAACAGGGGGGGTGAATAGAAAAGGTGTAAGAGCTAGAACACAGGGAGGAGGACTGAGGCAGAGCCCAGAGCCCACTGCAGCACCGAGTCCACCGAGGCTACTACGAGAGCCTCAACTGCCACCCGAAGTACCAGCTGGGGGCAACCTTCTCCGCCCCAGCGCAGGAGCCCCTGCCCTTTTGGACTAACAACTCGCAGTTTCTCCTTTGCTGCAGGAATGGTGACCGCAAACGGTCTCAGCCTCCACACCCACTGCCTCGGTCCCCGCCCACCCATACCTCCTCCTCGTCCTCCTCTGCCTCCCGCTGCACCCGCAGGCGGCAGCCCCCTCGGAGTGCGCCACCCCTGCTACGTGGCATTGGCAAGCTTCGGAGGCTGGAGGGCAGCAGCCACTTGCTGCCCCAGTTGCGGGGGCTCTGGGTGCCAGTGAGGACCCCGGCTGAGCCCAGGGTGTCAGGGAGGCCGTGGAGAGCCGTGATCTACTGCACCGCAGTGCCCCCGTCAGAAGCCTCGGGAGCCCGGGCTGCCACTGCGGGACGGCGGGTTTCCCTGCTCTCTCCTTCCAACACAACCCCAGACACGAATACCCAACCCAGGGTCCCTCCCCACCCTGATGGAGCCAGGGGACGCCACAGGCCCGGCTGCCAGTGTGAGCGGTTCCGGGGAAGGCTGCATCCAGCCTCCTCGCCAGCGCCGCCGCCACCACCATGCAGCCCTCCGGCCTGTTCTCCCCTGGGTTGCTCGCCCACAGCTCCGCGGCCGCCTCCCATCGCCTCAGGCCGAGACATGGGGACAGGAACCCCTGGGATCCGACTCCCCAGATCAGATGCATTTGCATTCCTTATGTAATGTACTGCAAGTTTCCCTGTTGGAGCCCTTTGGAATCGGGGCACACGATCATCAGTAGGCTTAAAAGCAGGGACCCACGGCCTGGCTCACCCCCACCCCTGGCCCTGTGGGACCCCGACGCGGGGCTTTGATGCCGCTTTCTAAAGGGGGACTTCAATTACAAATATTAGAGGGACTGGGCTTGTCTTCTCAGTCTGGGTTTCCCTCCAGGCGCAAGCCTTGCTCAAGTATTCCCAGTGGCAGGATGTGTCAGAGGCAGACAGGGGGAATGAGTTAATGCTCGGGCACCCGGAGCTGGACAGGGGAGGGACGCGGGGGCTGACGGAGGAGCGGGGCCGCGAGGGAGGGGGCCTCTTTTACTTTGGTAAAGGTGATCGTGGTGGCGAATATTGTGCAAGCTAATCAGAAAGTCTAGAGCAGGTTCTCAACACCCAGCTACGTCCCCCGAACCTGCTGCAGAAGTAAGGAGAGCTCGCGGTTCTTTTTCCTAGCAACTACCGAAGCTTCAGCTGCCTGGGGCACAACCTTAAGCCAAAGCCCTTCACTATTCCACCAAGCCTAGGCAACCAAATACATTTAGAAAAAAAAAAAAAAAAAAGTTTCCTCCTCCCTCCTAGTGATGGATTGTGTCACAGCCAAGAGATGCTGATAATGGTTTTGGGGTTTGCAGACGCCGATCCAGCTGTTACTTGTTTATTCATGCAACACCTCTATATGCAACACTGTCCTGGTTCCTGGTATGTTTCCCCTGCCTTCCTGCATAGCAGAAATGCAGATCTAGCTCGATGAGCAACAGACAGGTTATTATGAGGAAAAACATAACACGATGCATGTTTTGCTTACCAGTTGGGTTCTTGTTTTTCTTAAGACTCTTGCCACAAAGACACTGCAGCATATGCGTTCCTTTGCTGAAAATGTTCCAAAGAAACCACATTGATTTGGGCGAAAAGCAATCCAGCAGCTTAGACACCCTGAGAAAGAAGAGATCCTTGTGGTTGCATAATAATAATTTGAAATCAGTTCTCCTGAAGAGGGGCACCGGTTTTACCATAGGAAAAACGATAATATTCCGGATCTTCTCCCAGTTTTTTCCCCTCACGTGGTATATTTCTTTGAGACTTCTCAGTGATTGTTTTTTTTCGGCCAGGGTGAATGATTTATCCCCCCTCGATCACCACCGGATTATTACCAAAAGGTTGGAAAAAAAATCCTTTTTCAGCATGAAGCCAAACAAAAAAGCAAAGAAATCCCAACTGAGATCAAAACTAATCAGGGAGAACAGTAATGCACAAAAGATCCCCAAAGAGAAAACCATAGCCTTTTTACTTGATCGCTATGAGGATGGGTGGATCTGCAGAAGGCAAAGCAGGATTCATCTTACTGAGAGAAGACTGCCATTGTGTAGCCCCTAGGAGAAAAGGAAAAAAAAAAAAAAGGAAAGAAAGAAAGAAAAAAGAAAAAAAACCACCACCACACACACTCACACACCAATACCACCTCCGAGATTGAGTCTGACAGCCGAAGACAGAGCCTCCCTTCTCCCAGGGTCGATTTTTTTTTTTATAATCAATCGCCAGTGCTCAGTGGGATCGGTTTGAACCTGCAGTTCTCAATCACCACGAAGAAAAGATGCAAATTTAGGTGCCCCCTCCCCTTGTCAGTCTTGTAGTAGGTAGAGAGCGCCACAAATCCCCTTCCTCCTTCCTCTCACTCTTCCAGTTTCCAACAACCGTGAGCATGAGGAAAATCTCCCCTCCGGATTCCTCGCACAGCCTCGGATGTGAGTTACAGGCATTAGAGGGAGGAGGAGGAGGAGTTGAAGTTTGCATTGAAAAGACTGGCTTTCCATGACGTAGCCACGTGCTTTCAGACCCGTCACCAGTGAGATGCTTCAACCAGCCCAGCGAGGGCAGTGTCACTGCAGTCTCTCGGCTAGGGCCCCTCCTGAAGTCTCTCCACCCGCCAGCTCCAGCCCCAGCCCCAGCCCCAGAGCCAACGCGCGACCCTCTCCCGCCTCCACCAAGCACCGGTCGGCCTGCTGTTTGCTTTTGGAGCCAATCTAACAGTCTTCTGTTAAAAGTGAATTTTGAAAAGAAAAATTAACAATTATAATGAGTAAACCTTAGAAAATTCATGTTGGGAGGTTGGAGCTGGGGGGAAATAAAGAGAAACAGGGGTTTAAAACTTCCACACCCAGCCAAAATTAGTTCCACCTTCACATTTTCAAAAGCAGCACACAATGCATCTAAAACATTAAAGAAAACTCAAGTTCCTTTCATTCTTATTATTGGACTCCTACTTTATGGGCTGTTTAAAAAATATAAACTAGGTATATAACAAATATTACCACAACCAGCCATTAAAAGGACAACCACTAAAATCTAGGTGGCAAACTGTACTTTTGTGGGGAGGGACATATATGCCTTTTATAGACAGACAACACATTACAACACATTACCTTTAAATAATTGTGCAGAAAGTCCCTGCCTAAATCACGCCCTAATTCTTCGCATGTTTCTGCACTCATTAATTAAGCCTACCTTAAATTTGCCCTCATTTACTTCTCGTCTATACATCTCACCTACACTACAATCTAACCTAACAAAACAGGCACATTTTCTATTTTCATCAAGATGTAACCCAGCTTCCTACTTGCCCAGAAAATCAATGGGTTTAGGACCAAGCTGTTACTTTATTTTATTCTATTTGGAGGAAAATACAGTGTGCAAAGTAATACAAAGAATTACAAAAAATAATATAACAAACTCCAGTGTACCCACTGCTCAAAATTACCTTAAAAATGAGCATTTCATTTTATTTGTGAGATAAGGACTTAGAGAAGTAAAACTGACCACTCTTATTCTCCGTAGGTAAGTGAATTAAACTTACGCCAGCTTATTTCTATTTTTATAGGTAAATTGACAAAAATTTTAACTCTAATTCAAAAATATATATTTAGAAATGTCATCATAATTTCAAAAAATCAAAACTACTGCCTCCATTGCATGGTGTATCAACTTAGATGTAGATTTATATGGTTGAGGACTGATGAAAAAGACTGATTTGATTTTAAAGAAAATCAACTAACTCCTTGTCAGTTGTCAAAAAATGAAAATGGAGTAAACAACTTTACCACTTCTAGGGTTTCCTATTAGTTAGGATGCTAAAATTAGCATTAATATTCTAACCTTTTGGGAAACATCAGTCAACTCTAGATAAGATAAAAGAATTTAAAACCAGTACATCCTATTAAGGTTAAGACATTGGAAAGCTATATCGTGATGGCCTTGATGTGTCAAAAGGATCATGTCATACAGCTTTTAAAAATTACTAAGATTTAAATATGGTCTAAAAAGGTTTGCGAAGTAAAAAGAGAATACTAAAAAGACCTGAATTTAATGCCAATGACTTACTAAGAAGAAACAGACTAAAAAAAAAAAAAAATGAAGAGTGGAATTCTTTTTAGAAAGAGGAAAAATGGAATAGGATTTCCAAATAATTAGAAAATAATTTTTGACATCAATCAGAGACAGATACCATATGCTGCTTCTATAACATATTGGTGTCCCCTAGGGGGGTTCCAGAATATCCCAATATATTATCACTTGGCAAATGCCAGGGAAACAGTTGAAATATAAATATGGCCTTCCAAACTCACAGGCTCTGATGTTATGTTAAAACTTTCTGAGTTCCCCGGAATATTTCACAAGTAGAGTAAAATTTGGGAAGATGTTCTGTAATTATTGGATCTTCTTAAATGCTAATTTGTATAAAGACAGTATGTCTCAAACCAGCTCTTCTTGAATATCAGAGTTTGACTTTCTTCTTTACATCTGACAGTGAATTTGTTCCCTATTGAAATAAAGAATAACTGCCAGAATACTATCATTCCCTTTGCTACATGTTGGTGGAAAACTTCTTTGACTCATGACCTAAGGAAAAACATGTAAGATAATTAACTGTGACTACTATTTATTGAGACTCTATTATGCCAGGCAAGGTATTAGTTGCTTCTCATGTTTTATACTATTTAAAGGAATGAGAAATTTTTATAACGTATAACATTTTGCTCTTTCTATCCTTCTGTTCTATATTTATTGATATATTATTTGCTTAGGTTACATAGGCTACTATTCACATTATTAAACCCCCAAAAAAGCAATTGTTTTTGTCTGGAAAGATGACTAACACAAATTCAGATTATTTTTGGTCCGAAGGACCCTCAATTTTTTATGTTTTCTGAATAGGGCAATTCAGTCATTCAACCAATATTTATTAAGTATTTGCTCAGTGAAAATAACTATACAAGATTCCATGCTGGATACTAAGTCATGAACTTCAACCAGATTTCCGGTTATACAATAAAGACCAAGGATGGTCCAAGAGTTAGCCCAGGTTTCTGGGGACTCCAGATAGGGATGATTCAAAGATACTTAAGAAGCTGACCTGAGTTCCAGACAATTATTTAAGGTTTGTTTTGGAAGATATCAAAATATTTGCTTACCCTTTGCCATGCTACATTCAAATCAATATTATATGACAAAAATAAAAACTACGGGGAAATATGCAAGTTTTGAAATGCATACAAGTAGAAATAAGATTTAAAAACCTCACTGAAACAATAAGAATTGATAGTAAACTCGGTAGTATACAGGAGAAAAAAAATCTGTAAGACTGTTTTCATAAGGCTAAAGTAAAATAAACAGAGTACTCATAAACAAGTTCATTTAAAAATTAAACTTCCCTTCAGCATATTATAGTAAACAAATCTAAAAGTAAGTGTAATTGCCAGAATTTCATGACACAATAGCATATACATTTTATTTTAATGTAGGACACGTGAACTTTCATGAAATTAGTCAGCAAAAATCTGTAAAACTATTGCAGCATGCTTTTACTATTTGCTTCCAATTGTTGCTCTTCTATTTCACTCTTCCTTTTAGTATTGAACCCCACCCCCACTACAATTTTGGAGGGGCACATGGGTACTCAGATGGAGAATATAATTTTCAGCCCCTTTATAGTTAAGTATGGTCATGTGACTAGATTCTGATCAATGGGATGTGAGCAGCCGTGACATGTTCAACTTCTTGGTCATATTTTTCAAAGAAACCTGCTTGCCTTCCACGTCTCTCTTCTATCCTTCCTGTGAGCTGCAAAGAAAATAGTGAGTAGCTTTGGCAGCGTGGACAGGGACACACACCAAGAGTGGTGCAGTATCAAGGTTCAAGAAAACTAGGACCTTGGACAGAGCCACCAACCTACCCTGCCAACCTGGCTCTGCAGCGTTGACAGAGAAAGCAACTTTTATCTTGTTTGAGGTTGTCTTAGCTCATTCTCACTGCCACAACAAAACACCATAAACTGGGTAACATAGTAATAACAGATATTTATTTCTCACAGTTCTGGAGGCAGGAGGACTAAGATGAAGGTGCTGGCAATGTCTGGTGTGGGCTTGCTTCCTATATAAAGTGCCTTCTAGCAGTGTCCTCACATGGTGGCAGGGGACAAATTCTCTTGGGTCTCTTTTATAAGGACACAAATCCCATTCATGAGGAATCCACCCTCCTGATATAATTACATCCAAAAAGACCCACCTCTCTATACTATCACGTTGGACATTTAGTTTTAACATCTGGATTTCGGGGAACATAACCATTCTCAAAATAGCAGACCATGTGTTTTTGTGTGAATTTGTTACCGCAGCTTATTCTGTCTACTCTCTTATGGGCTGGCCTTGTGTTGATAACAACACACTTATATTTGGGGTAGCTATTTATGTTAGAAGAATAAAGAACATAAGTACATAACATACACCTATGGCTTTATCCACAGCCTGCCCCTCTTCTTTCCATTCACTACAGCAGCTGCTTATCTCTTAGCTGCCTCCTGCAAACCACACTTACTTACCCCCAGCACCAGTGTAAACATCCCACTGTCAGATTTTACTTTTCCTGTCTCCTTCTCTGCCCTGCTCCCTGCTCATCAAATATAACCTATGGCAGTTTAGAGCCTATAACCGTGACAAAAAAGCTTTGATCACTGAAAGAAGGAGAAGGGCAAAGTGATTGAAAGAGTTGGTCATCAAGGGACTAACGACAGAAAAAGAAGACCAATGTGTATATAAGGACTCAGTGTCTATGTATTCCTTGGAAACCTTTTTCAAAAAGATGAAGCTTTATGGTGTTTGCACAATTATTCCTTCTCTATTTTTGTTGCTAACAATATTTCCACCTTTTAAGGAATAATTCTAAATTTCACATCTCTATTCTACTCATTAGTACCCCGTTCTTCCTCTCCCCATGTTCCTACATTGACCCATGATGTAAAAAACCTCTGCTCCTCTCTCCTGGAGGGAACAGCCTGGGAAGGTAACTTGAGTCTGTCTCTCTTCCCCTCCCAACTTCTCAATGAAGGAGAAACAACTTAAGGGCCCAGCCCCTTCTTTTCTCCCTATCTGCAAGAAGCTTTCCTGCCTGCAAGAATCTTTTATACTCCTCAGCCTCAGCTCCTCCATTTGAGAAGCACTGAGTCACCTCTAACTGCCAGTATCTCTATCTCTGAGCTCAAAATTTCTTTCTCCCCCCCCCCAAAATTCAGGAGTACACGTGCAGGTCTCATACGTGGGTATATCAGGTGATGCTGGAGTTTGGGCTTCTAGTGAATCCGTCACCCAAACAGAGACCGTTGCACACAATAGGTAGTTTCTCAGCCTTTGGCCTTTCCATTCTTTTGGAGTCCCCGGTGCCTGCTGTTTCCATTTTTATCGCCACGTGGACCCATTTTTTAGCTCCCACTTATAAGTGAGAACATGCAGTGTTTGGTTTTCTGTTCCTGCATTCATTTGCTTTGGAT